AAGTTAAAGGTTTTAAACAAGTCCGAAATTTGAAGAATTGTAAATGTTAGGTTTCAAATTTATGAATTTCAGGTATAGCCAAAGATGACCCTTATGGTTTTTACATCTATACCTCAGGGATGAAATATATAGTTTTAAGAGTTTTTAACTAAAATGTAAAAGAAACCTAAGATGAGTTTGAAGGAAGTTCAAGGTTTTAAACAAGTGCAAAATTTGAAAAATTGATCTCAAAATTGGTCTTAAATTCACGTTATTCAGGTACAGCCTTGAATGAGCCCTGATAATTGAAGGTTATGAGTATAATTACAATTAGATATACATTTAATGGTGTCTCCTAAGCCGATGCCGGCTGGTGGGTTTTTTAAAAAAAGTATTTATTATATGATATTGAATGTAGTTTTTAAACCTGTGACACAGAAATAAAATATTTTAAACTTAAAAAGTATAATAGTATCAACTATGATATCATAGCTTAGAGACCAGGTGTAGAATATATACCTGTTGCAGCAGTTAGTCTGCTGCATATAGATGGAGTGAAAAGTCGTGAACTACAGTAAAATCTCTCTAATCTGAATGCTACTGGTATTTGAACCAGCTAAAAGCATTCTAATTAGGAGTGTTTGAATTTTGAGGTTTTTACATCTACAATACAAGTTCTGGATTTTGAAGAAATATGGATGCATTCTCAATGAAAAATATTAATAATATCTATACTGACCATATAAAAAGCTTAATAGCATTCCAAAATCCAATTCAAAAGTTTTGATATATTAACAATTCAGTGTTAAACTGACAATATTTGAGCAATTTTGTAAGAAATATGTGATATTTGGTAAAAAGAGTTCAAGTTAGACAGGTTAATTTTTCAAATATGAGTGTTCACTGTTCGAAGTAAGAGGTATTCAGATTTCAATTTTTTAAACATAGGAGTCAATGGGAGGAAAATTGGACTGGGAAAAGTGTTCAGATTGGTGGGTGTTCAGATTAGTCAGGTGTTGGGATGATTGGTAGGTATTCACACCTCACAATAGTCAGATTTTGGGATATACAGGTTTCACTGATGATATATCATCATGATGATGAACTAGAACTACTGTACTAGGTGCATTTGATAATTTTTACCACAATGTTAATACTATGTCAGGAAAAGAAAGCACCCATGACACTTTGCTTGTAGAACTTGAAAATCAACAACACTTTAAGATTTGATAAAGGTGTCTACCAAATGAGTAATCCACATAAATTCAAATACAAGCACTTGGCATGATATTCCCTATGATGCTTTTTATAGATTTTTAGTTAATGTTATTGATCAGCTTATTGGTTTCATTACTTTCTCTAGAATCTAAAATTGACCTTGGGTTTATGAGAATAGTAAATTGGAATGCAGTTATATGGAGTATTGAATTGGCTGGAATTGGACACACATTGCCTAGCTATGTGTGAATAAACTATGATCTTATATGGATACAAACAGTTCGTTCGACAATGATCATCTATCTTATCCTGTAAAATCACTACTTAAAAAGGGGTTTGAAATGGAGATTGATGAAACCATACCACAAATTGATAAAACTTTCGTGATCGATGCAATGGCTATGACAAAAGGAAAATTAAGATTAACTTATATGTTGAAATTTGGAGAGTTTTGGAAAGCTATATTTGACTACTCCATCAAATCTAGTAAAGGAACCCAAAGAATAGATTTCATATTAGACTCCTAGTAGTCTCCATCAGTAAAGGATTCTGAAAGAATGCGAATTTTCAAAAATTACAAAGAAATTTAATAAAGCAGCATTCTAAAAGTGTGCCAAATGTCAAGATTGTTTTAAGTGGAACTATTGGGGAGAACTCAAATATCTGTGAAAATGATAACTGAAATCCCCTGTTAAATTCCACTCTTGAAGAGGCTGATTTTAAACTTATTCACTCTGTTTTACATTCAGCAGGAGAACATGTGGGACTGCAGTAATTTGCATCAAATGACACTGATTTTCTAATTTTATGACTATCATTTCAATAAATGTAAAAATTCTTCAACTGCTAGAAAAAGTCAGTATGTAAACATTTTCTACAATGTCTGTTTGTTTGAAACATATTGATCATAGATATCACCATATATACTTTTTTGATCTACATGAAGATTTTAGTGTGACAAGACCCTTTTACCCTATAGAGTTCCTAATCTCACTGCACTAACAGGAGTTTCTAGGCCCAGCGGGGTATGATCCTTATAATCCTTATTTTCCCAAATAATTACTGTTGCCTGATGACAAGTTGTTTTATTGGGAGTGTAGTGATTATAATTTGATAATAATTTTGTATTAGGAGATGATCATTGCTTAATTACAGTATGGGCATAACAAAATATCGAGAAATCATGTTTCTTTTAATTAACCATGTCTTTATGTATTTTGACAATGTAGAACATTACATCGATAATAAAATATCATCAAATTATAATTAATTAGTTATATTCCATTTAATCAATCAATTACTACACTGTATACGATATCCCTAAGAGCAGTTACACTTTAGGGGGGGGGGGGGGGGTTATTAACCTCTCATCCCCTTAGGAACTATAGGGTAAGGTCCTCAACTCTAATGATTTTTCTTTTAACAATACTTGTAACATGGATCAAACCTGACCACAATATTTTCAACATCTAATTTCTAAGCTAAAAAGTCATACATTCAAAAAGAGAGACATCCAAGCAATACCTGAAATCGTAAAGGAGGACTGAACAGATTTAGGACAGTCACATGTTGGATTTTTGCTATTTTCTGAGGATTTGAGGAGGTAGTGCAATGGCCTATCATATGCACCTGCTTAAATCCTCAGGAAACAGACAAAATCTAACATATGACTGTCTGAAATATGTTGCAATACTTTCCGTGCTCCTTTGAGACCTGATATTTCTCAATTTTTCAAACATTGCACTTGTTAAAATTCTTAAACTTCCTTAAAATTCATCTTCGGTACGTTTTACTTCTTAGTTTCACACTCTAAAAATATATGTTTCATCATAGAGGTATGGATGATTTTGGACTTGTTTAAAATCTTTAACTTCCTTAAAACCCATCTAAATTATGTTCTACATCTTTAGTTCCATACTACAAAACCATAAATATCACCAAAGAGGGATGGATTTAGAAACTATAGGGGTCAGCCATGGATATACCTGGAATTCGTAAATTTGAAACCTTGTATTTACAATTTTTCAAATTTTGGACTTGTTTAAAACCTTTAACTTCCTTAAAACACATCTAAACTATGTTTTATATCTTAGTTCCACACTATAAAACCATAAATATCATCATAGAGGGATGGATCTAGAACCTATAGGGGTCAGCCATGGTTATACCTGGAATTCGTAAATTTGAAACCTTATATTTACAATTTTTCAAATTTTGGACTTGTTTAAAACCTTTAACTTCCTTAAAACCCATCTAAATTATGTTTTACATCTTAGTTCCACACTATAAAACCATAAATATCATCATAGAGGGATGGATCTAGAAACTATAGGGGTCAGCCATGGCTATACCTGGAATTCGTAAATTTGAAACCTTATATTTACAATTTTTCAAATTTTGGACTTGTTTAAAACCTTTAACTTCCTTAAAACCCATCTAAATTATGTTTTACATCTTAGTTCCACACTATAAAACCATAAATATCATCATAGAGGGATGGATCTAGAAACTATAGGGGTCAGCCGTGGCTATACCTGGAATTCGTAAATTTGAAACCTTATATTTACAATTTTTCAAATTTTGGACTTGTTTAAAACCTTTAACTTCCTTAAAACCCATCTAAATTATGTTTTACATCTTAGTTCCACACTATAAAACCATAAATATCATCATAGAGGGATGGATCTAGAAACTATAGGGGTCAGCCATGGCTATACCTGGAATTCGTAAATTTGAAACCTTATATTTACAATTTTTCAAATTTTGGACTTGTTTAAAACCTTTAACTTCCTTAAAACCCATCTAAATTATGTTTTACATCTTAGTTTCACACTATAAAACCATAAATATCATTATAGAGGGATGGATCTAGAAATTATAAGGGTCAGCTATAGTCATACATAAAATCCAGCTGTCAAAAATGTCAAATTTTTCGAAAAATCAACAATTTTTTTCTCAGCTCCTACCTCTTCCATGGCTTTGCATCTTTCAGGGTTACTAACCCTGCTATTGGGCACTTCACATGAATTTTTCCAACCTCTCACAGTGTCTAATTGAAAAGTAAGAAACAAAATAGTAAGAAAATGAGTCACGAATTTGTCCCCTGGGGTACATACTTTGTACTAATTTTCAAATTCTTTAGGAGTTATCAGCATCAAATATACTGCAAATGATTCATATATATAATATCTATGTATGTCACTTACAAACATCAAAATATCTTAGGTTATTTAGTGTGAAGAATTTTTTCCCCAGTGTGGGGGTGTTTTTGGGGGGTGGGGGGCTAACTCCTCAAAAAAAAGAACTTCCTACCACTCTGTGAAGCTATCACCTAGGTGGAAGTTTCATCCAAGACTCTCCCCTAACTGAAAATGCTGCCAAACCAACTATACACCATTTATTGAGAATTTTCCTCCCCGCCCCTAGAGTATAAGCATCCACAACACAATGTACACAAATATCTGAAAATGTTCACATCGATTATAGTTAATTGGATAAGTGTGTAACACCTGACCACTTTATTCATCTTTGATTGGACAAGAGTGTTCCACCTGACCACTATACTCATCTTTGATTGGACAAGTATGTACCACCTGACCACTTTTCTCGTCTTTGATTGGACAAGTATGTACCACCTGACCACTATGCTCATCTTTGATTGGACAAGGATGTCACACCTAACCACTATACTCATCTTTGATTGGACAAGTGTGTACCACCTGACCACTATACTCATCTTTGATTGGACAAGTGTGTACCACCTGACCACTATACTTATCTTTAATTGGACAAGTGTGTACCACTATACTCATCATATGGCAAGAGAATGGTTTAATGCATAAATATACAATTATGATTGCAAGCAAAGCCTAAGATTAGAGGACAATCTCAGTTGTAATGTGTAACTTGTGACATAAATAATTTAGGTGTTTTGCAATGGACTTCAGCTAGACTTCCCTGCCTTGGTTATTCCTTAAATAAATGTCCATACTTATTCTAAATTCTATTTACTTAATCTCTATGGACAGGAAAGAACTAGCTATAGATCATTTGCTAATGTGCAACAACAGATTAATCTCTCTAAAGTTTTGGAATTTTCTTCTTCATTTTGTTTTTAATAGACATTCTAGTTTGGTACAAATATCTACATGTATATAGGCCGCACACATTACATTATACCCATTATGTTCCGTGTTAGTGTACTTCCAAGTGAACATATAGTTACGTATCTCCATGAATGATGGTAAGAAAAAAATACAACATATAAGTGTTTCCATGGCAACTATGGTCTCTATAGCAACTAGATTTGACTGTCTTTAACTTCAGTAGACTTAACAATATGAAGATCTCTCATTCCCCTCCCATCACAGACAATGGCATCATTATGGGTAATATTACCCAGCGTACAACAGAAATATATACACAAAAGTTTAACGAGGCATAATGTGGGACGTAGCGCCACCTTTATGAGCCCTCAGAACCACTGTAGTCATGCACCCTGGGCAGATCCTTATATATATGGGCAGGTGTCCTATTAGTCAAAACTTGTGGTGAATTCCGATGCCTGCTCAGCACAGGAGAGTTCCTGACACCCATTAAGGGTGAACCAGATCCATTGCCGGTCACTAAGGGTGACCCTGATCCATTGGCCATTATCAAGGGAGAACTAGAACCATTGGCCATCATTAAGGGCGAACCAGACCCATTATTACCCATCATTAAGGGTGACCCGTTGTCTGTATAAATATGGTTTGGTTCAATGTTTGGCCTATATGGGGCATTGTAGACTATAGGAGGGGGTGAAGGTGTTGTTTGTACATTTGTCTCCTCAGTGCTCCTGTAAGATGAACTGTTATCCAAGGTCCCCTCTGGAAAGCAACAGTGACACATGAGTACATACAGCCATTATATTATGGAAGGTTCTGGATGTAGGAAATATCATGAGGAAAATATATAACATCGAACTGATTGACTGCTTCTAGATATTTAATTGCAAGATAAAGGAAAGTAGTTCCCCTATGAATAAAATTAAACAATGTTTCTGAGACTGATTCATAAATGTAAAAATATTCTAAATCTAAACAGTTTTATTCAACAAAAATTTAATATCAGAATAAACAAGTAAACTAACCATTACTGCTTAGATCAGTGTTAGTCGCCATGTCACGAGTGGGAGCAGAGGGCGGGAGAGGGTTATCGTCATCATTTTTAGGACGCCTCCTCCTCTTTTTATGCTTACTATTCGCCGATTTTTCCTCTCGGTTATTCATATCTTTTGCTCTATTCACTTGTTCAAACGATCGGGGAATGTGATCCCGAGATCTATTTATTTGGTCAAGTGACCCCCGATTGTTCTGGGGTCGAGGAGACTGAGTCATTTGGTCATGTGACCTATTAATATGCTCGCGGGAGTGGTTGACTTGTTGCTGGAGACGACTGAGCCAGTTATAGTCAGGGGGGTTGTATGTTGGGGGATCATTGTATATTGGTTCGACATTATGGCCATTGTTGAACCTCACATCTGGGCTATCTGAAAAGGTCAATCATTTGTCATGTTAATTCAAATACAAATGTATTTGGAATACTTCAGTTCAATTAGACAAAGTATGATATATGGGTTTAACTTATTTGAGTGATAAATGTATTATGTATACAGTGACACCTGTAAGGTGGAACGCCTCTAGAAGTGGAACACCTCTGTTATTGGAACACTTTTCAGAGTCCCGTGACCAAGTGAAATATTTTCTTAAGAAACTTTAAGTGCAACACCTCAGCTCCCAAATGGAACATGTTTTAGAAATACCAATGTTGTTCGACTCAGATGGGTTTTACTGTGCAGTAAAACAGAATGTCATCTTCACAAATGTCATGACAAGGAACAAACAAACCATTCATTCAGTACTTCATGACAAGCATCAAGGCACCTACCTGTATCCCCATACTCTGATGGGTGGAAGTTACTGCGTCTATCAATACTGTTGTAATAGCTGTGCTCTGGGCTTGGCGGCTGGATGACATCTCGTAAACTGTTCTGGATATTCATGGCTTGCTATAAGGACAGAGACACACACATTATTGCTGGGAACTAAATAGTTCTGATTTTGGAGAATTTTCTATTGTCGATAAACTATCCAATATAGAAATAAATAACAACTTTAGGCTAAAATTCAATTTCAATATCATATAAATTAATTACACTGACTAAAAGAGAAGCAAACTTTGAATGAAAATCTTCACAGCCAAAAATATTCCAAACAACATGATCTATTGTTTGCTAAAATTGAAGTACTGAAAAGCTCATGTATTGAATTTGATAGCAAGACATAAATGAATACTTAACGTAATATATCTCATAACCCCTAGTACGTATGTTTATAAGAATTCTACAAACTTCGAGGAAAACTCATAGAGCTTAAACAATGATGATACTTACTGCATGCGTTTTAGGGGGAGTATTTTCATCCTCATTTTCATTCTCAATTGCTTCATGATCCACCTCACGATCCATAGGATTAACATTAATGTTCATATGGTCCGGATGGAACTGGTTGCCATTCCCTATATGGCCATTACTGATCTTCCCATTTACTCCACCATTTTGAATTGATCCATTTAGACCATTAAGAATGAAGCCATTTTGTTTTTTATATGAACTTTGGTCGTTATGGATATTGCGGGAAGGATCTGAGAATTTACTGCGATAATTGGCATCTAGGGCAGCTAAAATGGAAGGAAATTTGAATCAAAAATGTTATTAGCAACAACTTATGTAGCGAACATCAACAAAGCTTTTAACAATAAACTTAATGCAATCTGTGTGTCAATTTCATAACAGCACCTATTAGTTATGATATCATTGGAACAGTGAAGTAAAGAAGGCAGGATGTACAAAATCAGTAAATTACTTGAAAGATTCACTCACCCATCATTCTACGCTGTTGTCGTTGTTTGTATGCACACATGACCATGAAAACAACCAATAGGAGCATCATGACTCCCAGTACGATGCCTAGCACCATATATAGCATCTCACTGCTCGACTGCGTGCTTTTCTCTGCTGCATCGTCAACCTCTTCAGGAGAGGGTTTCACAGTGGGGAAGAATGGCTCTGGTTCTGAACCATACACTATAATAGAAAAGAACCAGTCAAGGGAAAGTTCCATCATCCATTTATGAAAGGTGGAATATTCCACTCATGGAAGGCAGATGATTTCTTTGATAAGACACAATGAGAATAATGAAATTAAACTGGTCAGTGCAAAAATCCATCATAAAGCTTGATTCACAATGGATCTGACCCAAATTAGCTACACAAATTAGCTACAAATCAGCTTTTTAAAAACTCAATGCAGCAGTGAATACAAGTAACATGAAGTCAAGACAGAAAAAGAACTTTTAGTAATAAAATTCCAGCTTACCAAGCGTTCTCTTCATGACAGGTTCACTGAAGTCACTCTCCCCACCAGCATTGAAAGCAGTCAGCTTCAGAATGTAATCAGAATCTGCCTTGAGGTTCTGTATAGGAATCTCCCTTTTATGTGGACCAAGGATGCGACGTCTCTGGAACTGGTCAGGATCCCCTTTCTGCTTGTAGTAGATATAGAAGCCCTCTACTGGTTCAGTGTCAGTTGGAAGGAACTAAATGAACAAATAAATGAGTGAAATATTTAAGTTTTTGAAACACCTAAATTCTGCCATGTTGTTAACCAGAACAACGGCAACGCCAAAGCGTAGCGAATCCCATCGAACAGAAATGGCTGGCATTTTTACAAACGAATAGCAAATATCATAAAACAACACACCAGAAAGGCCACCATTTTCAAAATGGTTGCTCACTAGCCAAGTTGTCATCAGAATAAATAATATGCTTTTAAGTAGCCACCTCTAAAATTTTTGAAAAATCATACACGTACTTGTAAAATAACACACATAAAAATGGTGGCCATTTTTTGAAATGGCCGACTACTCCCCAAAGTTTAATTAGACAATGTGCCATGCTTAAAGCATTCACATATCAAATATGAACAAAATCGCTTCACTACTTTTCGAGTTATAGTAAAATACGTTAAAATGGCGGCCATTTTTCAAAATGGCCACCTTCTACCAAAAGTGTCATTAATAATAGACAGTGTGACATGCTTATTGTATTCACATACCAAATATGAACAAAATCGCTCTACTACTTTTTGAGTTATAGTAAAATACGTTAGAATGGCGGCCATTTTTCAAAATTTTTTTCAAAATGGCCGCCTTCTACCAAAAGTGTCATAGGACAGTGTGCCATGCTTATAGTATTCACATACCAAATATGAATAAAATCACTCCAATACTTTTCTAGTTATAGTAAAATATGTTAAAATGGCGGCCATTTTTCAATTTTTTTTCAAAATGGCCACCTACTACCCAAAGTGTCATAGGACAGTGTGCCATGCTTATAGTATTCACATACCAAATATGAACAAAATCGCTCCACTACTTTTCGAGTTATAGCAAAATACGTTAAAATGGCGGCCATTTTTCAATTTTTTTTTCAAAATGGCCGCCTTCTACCAAAAGTGTCATAGGACAGTGTGCCATGCTTATAGTATTCACATACCAAATATGAACAAAATCACTCCACTACTTTTCGAGTTATAGTAAAATACGTTAAAATGGCGGCCATTTTTCAATTTTTTTTTCAAAATGGCCGCCTTCTACCAAAAGTGTCTTTAGACAGTGTGCAATGCTTATAATATTCACATACCAAATATGAACAAAATCGCTCCACTATTTTTTGAGTTACAGCAAAAATCGTAAAATGACGAGTAAAGGCCGCCATTTTTCAAGATGGCTGCCATGTGCTTCTTTAATATCTACATTTGTAGCATTATTAATGTCCTTTATAATTTTTTTAAATTTAAAACATATTGCTATTACAGTTTTACATATTGCACCTAAATTACTGTAAAATCGGCACTAAAATGGCCGCCATTTTGAAATGAGCGGCCATTTTGAAAATCGGCTTTTGAGCAGAACTTCTACCCCCATAGGGTATATGTGTACAAAATATGAACAAAATCGGGCCAACGGTATTTGAGTTATTGCCCGGACGGACGGACAGACGGACGGACGGACGGACGGACGTACGTACGGACGTATGTACGGACGGACGGACGGACGGACGGACGGAGGCGTTCCCTATATCCCTCCGAACTTCGTTCGATGGGATAACAAATCAACTCTGTCTTGCTTTTATTGAATAGTCACAATCTTACTGTAAATATCAAAAACAGAAAGCCTAATGACATTTGTATTGTTATGTTATATTTAATAACATATTTTAGGGTAAATGCTATTGCAAAATTCCAAATTTAATACTCTATTCAGTTTGAATACCATCAAGATAGTAACTTCTTTGTTATTTTCCAGCATTGGCCCTCCCACCTGTCTCTGTTCTCCCTTTTCTTACCTGCCACTTTATCCCAATTGAACTATACGATATGGCACGTGAATCACTAATGACAGGATGTGTCGAGGGCTTGTTAGGCCTGTGAGCTGGGGCAGCCTGAAGATGGAACTTGGCAGATGTCTGACTGAACTCATGGTCGTTATCTGAGTAAACTGCTGCTATCTTAAATCTGTATGTTTGACCTGCAAGACAGCATTTAAAATTAGTTATTTTTTATATTATTATGGCATGTAGTTATATGCATTGCAATGTATTGCATGATGGAAGCTGGATGGTAAAAACAACTACTAACCAACAACAAATGTGTTCTTAGTTCAACAAGTTAAACCCAATGATGATGATGATGAACCTGATGTATCTTGAGCTAGATGATATATTTTTTTGTTTTTTTTAATTTTTTTATTTCAAAGAATAAGCATGTTAAAGCAATTGCAAAAAACAATTACAATAGTTACATGGTAAACATACATTTTACATAGTAAACATACATGTTAAATACATGCAACTTCATCTAAGATGCTGTATATGTACATGTATATTTTTCAATGAATAAAAGATATACTGAAGCGAGAGACAAGTGAACTCACCAGGTTCAAGTCCAGTGACTTCATGCATAGTATTGTCATCGGGTATGTTCTCATCAATGGTCTTCCAGCCATTACCATGCTGATCCCTCCTCACATTGGCATCCTTGCTTGGAAGAACCTTAAATTGCACTGTACAAAACAAAAGAAGATTTAATCATGAGGTTTGTATCTATCAATGATCACCAATATGATAGGAGATTAATCAATGGTAATTGTGTCAAAAACTAAGCTTAAAAAACAAAGAAATAAACTAACAACCAAAACAAATGGTGAATTGGTTAACCACTGTTGATTTAACGAAATGGTCAACTTTTTAAAGACATACAATGAACATGGGCCTACCTTTGAAGAAAGTGACCTTGAGTCCATCATTTGGTGGCACTGTCCACTCTAACTTCACTGATGTATCAGACAGCTTGCTCACTGTGGGTTTACTGGGAGGAACTTTCTTAGCTGTAATGACAAGTATAACAACTGATGTATACTGAGGCTAATCAAGTGAAAATGATAGAATATCACCTGAAGATTACAGCTACAGAACAGAATCTTTGTGATTTTTCTGAAATGTTTGATTTCATGCTAGCACATCTCCTGTTTATAGTTGCAACATTATTGATTTTATTCTTAAAAAACATAACAAATGAAAAGTTTAGAATATCATCTAAATGATTTTTCTGAAATGTTTGACTTTGTGCTAGCATGCCTCTGTTTATAGATATAGCTTGTTACTGATATTTCTTACCATTTGAATTCACTCGTTCTTCATGGTGCATTGAGGGTTTCTTCTTTTTCTTCCTATTCTTCTTGTTTTTCCTCCTATTCCCTCTGCCCCTTCCTCCCTTCCTAGGGGAATCAGGTTGCCGTGGACGAGTAAAGCCAGGCCCACCACGAGCAGGGGCCACACCTGTAGGTTCAGGCATATTAGTCACCATGGAAACTGGGGTTGTCATGACAACTTTGTTGTCACCTTGGTTTGGTTTCCTCTCTCCGAGTGGCGCTCTAGTTACTCTGGGCTCTAATAAAATAAGTCAAAATTATGATTTTTGTCAAAATTATTAATGATAGGTGTATTCAATATAAACCTTCAATTAATGTGTTAATTCAATGAGAGACATTATAGGTATTGATAGGGTTGACTCCTGAATGATACAAGTCTTTATTATGAAGGAGACAGTAACACGAAAGGATTATTTTCAATGCATGGACCAACAGAAAGCAATCACATAATGAATGTAAATCCTCAAAGCATTTTGTCAATTGCTGAAAACAAATGTATTGGTATATGTACATGTATGTAGTTTGTTATACAAGTTAAGTTGAATACCAAAAGCATTGTGCATAGAAATTATTCACCTTTAGAATGACAGTGAATTTGCTGCCATGCATATCACGAACATGCCACATTAAGGTGGCCCAAGTGGTACATTAGAAACAATTTTCCTAACATAAGAATGTTTTAAAAATTGTTATTTGAGCAACTCTGATTGACATATAATGGAACGAAATGACCACATTATCATTTATTTGCATGGTGTATATTGTACACAAATATACAGAAATCAATCTAGTGCTATACTTGGTCAATCAATATACCCAAATTGAGCTAATATTGTACCACTTGAGCTTCCTTAGGAAAGATACAAATCTAATGATTCACTATGAGCTTGGGTCAAGAATATCAATGATTTTTTCGCATGAGGAATATTTCATTCAACTTCCTCCTCAATCTACCAAAACTTAATGTAATTAAAATTATGATTTACCCTTTTTACCTAAATAATACTTTCTGAAAAAATATATTATATTCTGACCCAGCTCGCTCTAAAGGTAGGATTTTATGCAAGACTAGTAGACTAGAGGTGGTAATGCACAGACAGTAATGTACAGAAGGTAATGCATACGAGGTAATGCACAGACAGTAATGTACAGAAGGTAATACATAGAAGGTAATGTACAGGAGAACTAAAGGTACTTGTGTTTTAGGGATTTCTTGCTAATTAAAATGATTTAAAAAATAACCATAAAATACAATATAGTACGTGTTCACAAATAGGTGTTAATTCAATGAATTTTCTGATGAGCCTTGACAGAAATACAAGTTTTATTAACTTGCAGCATATGATGATTCCTATTACATATTATACACTATCTGTTACTGCTAATGATTTACAACCTAATACATGTACGTTAATAATAGAAAGAAACTGTACATAAATATCATAACATTAACTTCTACAATCCTTATTTAATACAATGTAACACGGTCTACAAGTACACAATACTGGACATTGTATACAAGCACCTATAATTGAAAAATGATGATGATTTTGAAAATTGTGAAATAAAGAAGTAGCTTTGTAGTCTTATATTTTGAACAAAAAACAGACATCTTAAAAATTGGAAATGATTTGCTTTTATAATGAAATGTACATAAAGAATGGTAAATAACTGCAAAAATACTACATACTGACCCAATTCTATAAACCTAATGAAGCAACTTCATCTGATGGCAACCTTAACCTAAATACACTTGTTTCTCTATTGAAACATAGGACTTGTATAGCGACCCTGCTGCACCACACTTTCGATTTTTGGGCACCTTTTATATTTAACAAAGTGATATGACAACAGATTTTTTCTGATCATTCATGATTCAATTGAGATCTTAACAAAAAGGCAGAAAATAATCCGAGGTCATATACGTCAAAAATCATTGAGGCATTGGCTACTAATATGATATACAAACAAACTATGTTATATTATATGTTAGTCCAAGTCAGTGCATTATAATCTTTCAGTGAAGATCACATATTATTGTGAAATTCTGTGTATGTATTTTAGTAATAGCTGCATGCTTTGTAGACAATGGCAATGCCGGTGCACAGCAGATCCCACCAAACAACCTAAAGTTAAGCCACAGACAAATGGCAGTAATATTTCAAAGATTGTGTTCTTTAAATCATCCCACCACATCGCAAATATTGTTTGATGGAATAATAATGAAATTCAGTTATAATTTAACAGTGCAATTATGTGTATTTAGTGAAGATATTAGTATATTCAGTCAGTATATCTCTCTATCGGTTACACAGTTTACACTGACTACGATTGGTTGATTTTAAAGGGAATCAGTAGGTGGAAGCAGTGTATAATATCGTGTATAAACTGGAGGTCTTTTACCACACAGATTGTGAATTAGACCAAAAACAAGATGAAGCATTTAAGTTTGTGTGTATTAACTTGAACATATTGTGAATTAGACCAAATACTGATTTAAGCATTTAAATTTCAGTGTATAAATGGAGCTCATCTCAAACATATTCTAAATAAGACCAAATACCAGTTTAAGCATCTGGTGGAGGCCATTTGTCAAGCAAATTGTGAATTAGACCAAAAATTAGAGTTGAAGCTTCGTAAGATTTGATCGTATAGTACAACTGCACGTTCTACACCAAACATATTGTGAATTAGACCCGAAACCAATTAATGCAATAGAATGAGTATGTAACTAATTTGGGTTCACCTATTATATCAAACATACTTAGATTACATCATGACGGAAAACTGAAGTTTCTGTTGTGGGACATTTTTGAAAAATGGCCCTAAACTGGTCCTGATTGTCCCTTAACATGCACAAATATGCCCTATGTAAAGGTTTGCTGTCCAGTTAGTTTCCTTTTGAATTATGAGTATATTAGTAGTGGATGCAGCAGGCCCATTCTATTAACCATTAGTGACATTCACTGGCATATTACTATACGTAGCTAACATGTTATTCTCTTTGAGTGGGTAGTGCCTAATTACAACCACCACCAACCTTTAACAGTTAGGAAGGCACTTTCAATGGCAAATCCAGCAGAGTTAGTTGAAATACACATGTATTCTCCCGCATCATCCGGCCTTGTGTTGAAAATCTGTAGGGACCCCCTGGGAGTGATTTTGTAGCGCTCGGTTAAAGCGTTATCTATTGGAACGCCATCTTTACTCCAAGTGACGCGTCCTGTGTCATCACTTATACAAAGCAGGATGACTGTTTCACCAGCAATTGTGGATGTGTTAGAAGGACCCATCGTTATTTTGGGCTTATCTACATGTGGATTGAAAGAGAGGATTTGAGCATTTATTGCTGGCAAAAGGGACCTCATAGAATACCATTCAATTTTTGAGTTTAGGTAGCCATCATGAGGCACTTTTGGTCTTCTGTTGCTGTTGGACATTATTTCATCGGGAATCCATAAATATAATAGATATCTGTACTTGGCACTTATTTGTCAGCAGTTTATGATTCTATGAAGTCTCCTTAGAATGCTGTATCAAGGATACTTCAGAGAATCTTTATCAAAATGTTTTTGCCTACATCAGATTTTACCCAGATTTTGCACAAGGAGAAAAAAAAGCCTGAATAGTGCTTTATCAATAATGCTGCACAGGTATCTACGATTCTTATGGTTTTTGAAACCAATGTCCCATATAAGTGACATCGCTCATTCAATAGAGAATAAGATAAAATACAAAATGTATACACCAAATATGTGCATGTGTGGAACATAGAAAACGAGGTCAAAGAAATAACTAAAGACTCATTCGATTAAAATCCTTGAAAAAATCTTGTCCATATAAAAATCAATGACAAAATTTTAATGCAGGTATTTTAAAGGAATGAATATAACAGACAGTAAAGTTAACCAGGAAAATATACAAAAGATGATAGCATTAGACAAATCAAAGAATTAGATATTACAACATGAAATATGGGTAATCAGCCTCCACCATTGTTAAATCCCTTGTTAACATTCATGGATTCACATGAAAAAAGAAGGTTATATATAATGTATGGGGCACCTGTGTTAACCATTGGTTAACCCAAACATTCTTCCCTTTTTCACGTGAAATTATGAAGTATTAAAAAAGGGAAAGCATTATTTGAAAGCACCACGGGAAAAGGTTGTTAAATTATTTATCAAATTATGAATTAACTTCACAGAACACAGTATTTAATTCAAAAAGCTAACATTAGTGTTACATGAACAGAGATAAGTGTTACATTAAATAGTGAAAATGACTTCCAAAAGCACCAACAAAGAAATTGCATATGGTTCTATCAGATTTCGGCTCTACCACGTACCTAGATGTGAATCTGGGGCCACATCTCTCTGGCTTGGCTCCTGTGTGATGTTGTCTGGCAGGACTGTAGGGACTGAGGTAGGAGGTGAGGTGGAGAATGTCTTCAGTTCTAGCCTGGCTATAGCCCCAGACTGACCATGTCTATTACGGGCCACACACTGGTACATGCCTGCATGCTGTCCCTGCACATTATTGATGGTCAGTTTAGTATCTGAAGAAGAAATTAACATTAGAGTCAAAACATAGTAAATTCAATTGCTAGCTTCATCCAACTATTTACTACATGTGTATTAAAGTGGTAACTCTGTGTAAAGGATGCAGCATACACATAATTAAGATTTTTTAACATGCTTATTTCTCTTCCAAATGAGACATTTCCACAACTTGCCAAAATATCCCATTTTTCTCAACTGAGTAAACAAGTTGGTAATTTCATCTCTTGAGTACAGGGACAGTTACTCAACCAATATATAGCAAGTAACTCAACCAATATATAGCAAGTCTTACACTATATATTTCCTCTTTTACAAGAAAGACATATTTACAACATATTACAACCATGCAATCAGTTTCATGCAAATTGCCAAGAAAACTGGTCACAAAGAAACAGGCCCATTTAAATGAATGGAAGGCAACTTATAATCATAGCATTCCTCGAGACAGTACATTTGATTTGACTACATTGACAATTCATGCAAGCTCATTACTGTTGGCCACATAATAATTGTTCTCAGGAGTCTCTCTTCTTGAAGATGTCTGTTGAAAATACCTTGGATTAATACACTGAAGGGGCATGACACAGAACATCAAAAAATCACCTTAAGGCATGCATATATTTTGTTTGTACTCTCCAAGAAAGACCACAAGACACGTTGCTCTATTGGAAATGTTTTAGGAACTAAATACATCTTTTACAACTCAAATGGCGACTAAAAATGGTGATCAGAAAAGTTTGAAAACATCATAAATGTTAATATAATGTATGCTTTTACAACACAAGACAACATGTGGTAGATTGGCATATTTTCTATTATTTACACTATCACCTACCATTCCTGGTTTCATTTGCATCTGTTGCAATAAGTATAATAACAATACATTGAAATATAAATAACTAATGATGGATTCAAATAAGCTTCAAATATTGGAAATCGATTGTGAAAATAACCCCTGATGAATATATTTTGATGTCACTTTGGTGAATTCTGCAGGTCAACAGAATATTACAAAAGTTTCACATTTTTGTCACATTGTTTCATTGAGAATGTTCATATCTTGTATAAAGATTCATTTGTTTCACTTGTTTTTATCATGAAGGAATGATATCAATTTTCATTGTATCACAAGATGTGTGGCAAAGAAATACTGGAACCCTAATACTTTACACAAAGACCCAAGTTTACAATAAGACTATTATACTTAAACATGTTCTTCAGGTTGGATTATCAAATCACAAAAATATTTTTTTCTTCTTTTCACAACCTTTATTTTACTAAACAGGACGTTTCGAATCCTGTCTGGATCCGTTTTCAACTGTATAAAAACTGAACTGAAGCGCTACAAAACAATTAAATATAAAAATGTATGCGAGAATTTGGAATGAATCTTTGGTGAATTTTTACCTGACACTTTGTAGGAATCTCCATTACTAAGAGGTACAGAGTTAAAGAGCCACTGGTAGTGGACCTTAGGGGAGCCATGAGCGTGGCACTGGAATATCACGGTCTCTCCTTCAGTCACTATCTGATCTGTAGGAGCGACCTCTATAACAGGGGGACCTGTAATAAACAAAATTGAAAGTATGCATTTCATGAATTAACTCTTTTGGGAGAATATTGACAAAAAGTTACCCCGTGTTTAACAGAATGGAGGGCAATCTTCACTGCGCATGAATAAATCTATTGACAGATGGCAAGGCAGCATAAGGAGAGCTCTATGTGTTTTTTTGTTTCAAATCTCAAGTTCATGATTCACTCAAACGAATTCAAAACTTGTGGTAGTTATGTCATACAAACACTCTCAAGTTCATGATTCACTCAAACGAATTCAAAACTTGTGGTAGTTATGTCATACAAACACTCTCAAGTTCATGATTCACTCAAACGAATTCAAAACTTGTGGTAGTTATGTCATACAAACACTCTCAAGTTCATGATTCACTCAAACGAATTCAAAACTTGTGGTAGTTATGTCATACAAACACTCTCAAGTTCATGATTCACTCAAACGAATTCAAAACTTGTGGTAGTTATGTCATACAAACACTCTCAAGTTCATGATTCACTCAAACGAATTCAAAACTTGTGGTAGTTATGTCATACAAACACTCTCAAGTTCATGATTCACTCAAACGAATCCAAAACTTGTGGTAGTTATGTCATACAAACAATCTCAAGTTCATGATTCACTCAAACGAATTCAAAACTTGTGGTAGTTATGTCATACAAATACAGACTCATGGCCACACTCAACTAGAATCTAAATTAAGCATGTGTTGTCAATCCTCATGATATATGAGAAAAAATAGGAAGGCTTGTGTGACATTATGACATGAGACTGAACATCATAAACTGCAATATGTTTCCAGTATTTATTTTAGTTAAGATGACAATATTTACTTAAAAATCCCCCATATATTGATAAATATTTGCACTTCGTGACACCAATTATGGAATAAAAAGTTTGTTATAATAAATCAAGAAAACACATTTGATGACAGCTTTTTGAGGTGAAGCCAAGAAAAGTTATAAATTGTTGAAATTGTGATAAACTTTTTAATCCATTAACACTTGTTCTAAATCTGTATAAATTGGGACTAAAAGTAGAATTTCAGACAAATAATTTTTAGCACTATTTTGGTGAATATTCATTTTCGACTCAACACTCATACAAAAAAATAAAAAGGCCTTTTATTCCAGAATCCCATTCATATGCTATAACACATTATATGGCATATAGATGTCTACTTTGGTGAGCTATACAAAAAGCAGTACTTACTCAGCACTCTTACAAATGCCACATCAGCCTTGGATGGCTGTACCCCATTGTCAGCCCTGCATATATAGGTGTCCTGGTCATGTATGCTGACATTTTCAATATGGAGGTTACCTAAAATGAGAGTTAGTTCCGATTAAAAATTCTTCTGGAAAAGTTTAATAAACATTTTGATGTACAAAACATATTTTGCAAAATAAACTTAAATCCAATGTATAAAACTGTTACAAATAGTGACTTAGGCGTTAACATACAAACATTATTGATCTAAAGCGAGTCCAGGTCTACAGTGTCAGGTAATAATTTTAACAGTTAACTTCAGTATAGGTCAACAGCCACATACTGTATCACATGTAGGTCATAACCCACCACAGAAAAGATACATCAGAAATTATAGACAGTTGAACCAAGCTCGGTCACCCCACAATATGGCTTTACAATTACAACAACCAACCCCGAATTTCACTTCTGTACTATGGCATGTAAATTACAATTTCCACTAGAATAACATTCTGGCCGTGGGATTCATTATGATAGAATCATGCAATCTGTTAGAGAAGAGATCATATCATGAAAGCATGTAACATTATGGATTGAGCCGCATCATGTACCCTAATTTATGTTCTCATAAAGCAAGAATAAATGAATAAATCACATCTTGGATTAGATTCTGAGCATGTAGCTTACCGAGGACCTGCTTGTATCTACCCTCGGGAAGTTCCCCAACATATTTCCCCCAAGTCACCACGGGAACAGGAGAACCACTGACAACACACTCTAGCGTCACATTCTCTCCCGCCTTCACAACCTGATCCTTAGGTGGCAGCACCATCAATGGTGGATTGTTCGTTGTTGGGGCTGAAAGTATATTTGTTAAAACATTAATTTATTTCCAAAATATATTTTTGGTGATAATGATGAATGATTGCCGTCTATTATGGGGAAAATCTATAAATCTAATCTTTACTACAAAGCACATAGATAGTTTACATGCAAATGAGCTATTTTGTCGGAGAACATTATACTTATATGGTTATTTTCCAAGTTCCTTTATCCATAAATCACAGGCTTTGGTGCATTCCTAAATACAATTTTAGCTCACAATATACATGTATATCACAATTTCCACTCCCTATTTCTATGTTAAGTTAGTAGAACAATATACCCCTTTATAATAGTTTAGCGGAAAAAATTTCAATATCTAAAAAGAAGATACTAAATCAAGCTTTTATCTAATCAGAATATGTCATCAGAAAATCACTTCTCATTCATTTTCCCATGAACTACATGTTTAAACTACATGTACCATGAAAGCTAAAATCTTAATAATATCAGAATATAAATCATCTGTTATTTTCAGAGAACAAAATGACTAGCTTAAGAGAATCAGGGTATAAACAGTGACAATAAAACAGACCTGGTGTCTCAAACTGCAACAATGTACCAGTTTAATTACCTTTATTGAAACATATGATGCCCTCAACTACTTTGAAGCTGAATTTTTTCAAAGTGAGATCACTAAGATATTTTAACAGATGTAGAAATGTAGAAAAGTTGTAATTGATACTGGGAAGATAGTTTATGACTTGGTCTAAGAAAGAATTGGGTTGAAAAAGTGCAGCATGTGAACACAAATGTTCTTAATGTGTCTTTTGAGATTTTTTGTTTCTATATTGATTCATTTAACTTAGTAGAAATGATAAAGAGATTTTTCTTTCAGACTGTTCTTAACAGGTAATATCTTAAATGCCTAACAGGGATCCACACCATCTTCATTATTAAAACGATTGAAATTTGAACTGTAAGTTAATGAACAGATCCACAAGAATTAAATCTGGCGATGTTTCCATAAAAACATGTTATGTTAACATGAAGATAATTCAAAGTACTGTATATATTGTCTGGGAAGCTTATGTTTTATATAGTGAATGTCAGAAAGATACATTCCAGCCAGGACTGTATACAAGTTAAGAGTCAATGTTTTGACTTGTTAATGTAACCAAACATTGCTGGCTCCAGTATGAAAAATTGCACACTGAATACAATGTAGACACCAGGTCCAATAGGGTGAATGTTCTCTATATGTATTTGTCTATCACGATGCATCACTTTGGCTCTATGTCTTGTTTTTTCTGGTCTTATCATGACCGCAAAATGTTTAAGAAGATAGTGCTTTCACTTAGAGTTCCTCGGGAAATCATTCAAAAATAACCATCATTACTTGAAAATAACTGAAAATGTTCTCTACGAAAATGGTGGATGAACAGTAGTTGGATCAAAAACTTGGAAAAGTTTTTATGACGAGATAATTGTCAATAATGAAATTAGTTGCTAAGTGATGACATTTGTGTTGATGCTGGGCTCATATATTATACCATGGGTCTATCTATTACTGCTCTTAGTTGTTATCTGAATGAGGGCTTTAACCTTGAATGGAGCAGTCATACACATACTGCTCTTGAAAAGCTCACTCGGAAAGTGTATTTCACTTGTGGATTTGTAAATGGCTTAAGATTAAAGTAAGCTTTTTAGAGAGTTTGTTTTGACCTATCTAATGAGATACTTAGTTAATGCCAGTATCACTATTTATCTTTGCTTTAACCCTTTCCTGACGTGAATATAAGAGGAAAATATGGGACTGGTGACGGATAAGTAAGAGCAGTTTTTAGGGAAAAACTGTAAATTACCTACATCCCAGGACGTATGCTTTAAATTGTATCACCTAAATACATTTTTTAAAAAGGACTATCACATTTTAACAACTTGTCAAAATTTGGTGTAAAAATACTAAATAGAACTGGAGATATTGTCATTTCATTGATGCATAGAAATAAAAATAATGGTGCCAAAAGGAGCCCATCGTCCTGAAAGGTATAATATAATAGGGCTCCATATGGAGCCTATCGTCGTGAAAGGGTTAATTCAATCACACAAGGATTGCTCCCATAATACATCAGTGCGATAACTCCCACAATGCATCAGACCTGATAACAAGATTTTACCTAGAATATATCAGAGAGCATAATGCTGATATAAGAGAGAAAATATCGAAAGAAGCAATTCATGGGAAATCAACGCCTTCCAGCGTATTTGGCAAATAAGTTTAGGTTATATGCACTTTCATAATATATGATAAACATCCTCAAGTTTTTGGCAAAATACATAGCAAAATGTCTGTTTATTTATCAAGAAAATGATTTATTTTTCTAAAGGATGAAATTACATTAACAATAGCTCAGAAATCTAATGGTCCCACTCTGTGAAAATATCAGCCCACTTTGGAACACAAATATTTCCCCGGAAAAAATACTTGGAAAAAATACTTGTACATGTATAACTATGATAACTTATCAACAATATTCCTCTACAATTTGAAAGGATTTTCAGGTTTCTGGTTCATGTTTATGTCAACTTTACATGTTCAATGACTGATTACTGAAAAGTGATTGGTGATGATATATATTAAGCACTTATTTCATTTAATATTTATATTACAATACATTCAAGATTTTTACTTTTACATTTTTCAGTTAGGTAACTCAATGCCATGTTCTCATCAGTTGATTATTATGTGTGCCGTTATGTGTGCTGGTTTATGTGCCGTTACCTCATAATGGGATCTAATCAAAGGCCCCTACTGGACCATAATCAGTACATAGACTATGGATAATAACCATATACATGTTTTAGTTTACTTAGCTATTTTGGCCAAATCAGCAGGTGGTCTTGTATAGAGGAAGAATCATTGCACATTTGGATATATACCAAAAGAGCATGTCAAACGTGCACTAACACAATCCAATCACTTGCAAAGATACTCCCAATTGTTAAGTTGCCAGGTCAAAACTAATAATCCTCTATCACATATTTAAAGGGACAATGTGATTATGAGGCATGTAAAACCATACAGAGCAAATGTTATATTGGTGAGGGCTTGAGGGGCTGGTGAGGGCTTGAGGGGCTGGTGAGGGCTTGAGGGGCATCTTCTGGTAAAATTGACAATTTGAACCTCATCTGGAGGTGTACAATTATAAGATAGACAGTACATTGTCATAGGAACTGATAGGGCATACTGGTTCAAGTGATTCATATCCCTCAATCTTGTCCTCCATGATACAACCAGTTACATCATATAGTTTATGTTGGTTCTGGCTTGTGGTTTCAGGTACAGTTGACCCTCTCAGCAGATTATACAAAGTTATCTTTGGCCAATACTCAAACGGGACAGCAAAAAAGCTGGCAACACCTCCGATGGCTACATTTCAAATTGGATTATGAATATGTCAAAGTAAATTGAAATGCCATCAATGTATATGTACATTTAGACTTTAAGTGTCTCTAACTGTAAAAATATTTAACACTGTCTCTTTTTTTGTCCCTCCAGCCTCTGAGTTTTCAGGATTTTCAAATTTATGTACATATAAACTCAGTAGTACCATTATTCATGAAACTTTTCATATAATAGCCTTGTATCAGCTACAAGCCCTACTCCAATCTATGTACAGCACCTTGGTAATAAATGATGGTATCTTGATAATGAATGATTGTCTTTAATTTAATTTATATCATGGTAACTTTCAACCTTGCATTCTTGTAAACAAATTCAGGAATTCATAGTTTCAAAATAGAAACAATCTTAATGTTAACCTTTCAATTTGTTTGACCTCAGTGAGCTTTGTTACTTAAGAACTAGCCTATGCGCTCAGGTTATTTTAATGTGTTTATATACAATTATAAATAGAGTCTGGATTTGAATCCCAAATGATAATTAAGACTATCTTTGCATTTGGGTCTAATGAAAAATATTTTAAGCATTTTTCTAAAATGTATTACTCAGACTTTCTTGATCAGTTTACTATCAGATCTATATAACATATATGATTTACCATTCACCATCATGTACCATTCAAAAGAGTGGGGAGTTTCTCCAGATTTGACGCAAGTTATTGTTTATTTATTTTCTGTTTTACTGAATATTATATACTGAATAGTGAAAATGAATTGCATCTGATATGTGTATAAGGTTCTTAAAAGATTATATGATATTTGTATGGTTTATGGGACTTTGGTGTCATTCATCCTTGGACCAAGGCTATTTTCACGTAAACACTGAAGTGTTTCTATTACCATAAACCCAGGTTCCAAAAAACAATACATATTATCATGGAATGACATTTCAATTAGATATTCTGAAGACCATCGAGACTCATTCTATTCCCTTGTTGTTCAATAAATGCCATCTCGGCACAACAAGATTATTATCTGAGCTCTAAATCCTTCTTGCTCACTCTGCCATGCTCCACTACATGGTAAATACCCTCTCACGTTATCACCGATGTTAATTGAAATACCCTGTGCTTTAAGTTGGGTGGTCTAATCCTTTACATCTTTCATCCGTTCTTTGCAATCCATGTGTTTCCTCATTAAATTGCTTGTATACTTTGGAAATTGTGTTTTATGATTACTACAAGAGTGGGGGTATTTACAACTATTAAAGGTGTTTTTTCTGAGTTAATCGCACTATTTGGAATCAGTTATCAGATGAAACAATAAACAGTACTAACTGGAGTATTGGAGGATAATATAAATAAATAAATCACTTGAGCTAACTTCATTAAGAATTCTCTTCAAAACTGTCTAAGTTTGACAGCTCAGCCATATATAAACACATTTTCCTCACTTACTAGTACCTTTGCATCTATGTTTGGATATTTTATTCAGTGAAGAATATCTTTAGATTTGATCTAAACAGAATTATGATTTATTGATGTCGATTGATATCATTAAAATATATTATCATCAAAGTTAGAGCTCTGATAGGAATCAGTGTATTATTTAGTGAAGAGGAGTTAGTGGTAGAACTAGAGGGATCTGATACACCTTTCAAAGTACCAATAATATCTTATTCATTTTCAGGTGTTTTAATTCGTTAGTCTCCTTTGATCTTTGCTTTGATCTTAATACATTAGACCTGGATGTTTATTTCATTGAATTTCACCTTTGATGTTGGCCATATATAAAGGGTACAATACAAGATACTTGTCACCACGTAAATAATGGTTGAATGTTATTAAATAGAGTGTGTCATTCTAGACAGTTATTTTATCATGAATTACACGAACCTTCATCTTTATAAATATTTTCTATATATTTCCTCCCTATATTTGTTTTAATTATCTATAGGGTAGAAGTCGGATATTTCAAATGCATATCAATCATATCACTATGCCATTGCCAATTCCTCATCAAGCGTGTTGTATGGATACACCATGAGACAAAAAAACATATGGAAAATAAGTACAGAATTACAAATGAGGTGAATTTTTGTCGCAATTATATAATTATGTTCAATCTTCCAAGGTTGAAACTACTGGCAACTTGGGAATGAAGATGTGATTTCAGCAAAAAATCATATTTGGTAAAATATGTTACACGAATTAGCTAAATTTAAATGGCAGAATGATGTTGTTTTCGCTCCACTGCTCAAAACCTAATTTAATCATCATATTCAAAATAGTACATCTGAATTCGCCATCCGCAGAGATAAACAGAATAACAGAGAAACTGATGCACTGGGAGAATGTTGCAGAATCTTTAGCTACAGCATGCAACACAACAGGCAATGTATTGGGTAACCCGAGGTGTCAGATTCAATTTTAGCTACAACAATGTGTTTATTCATTAACAGTTAATTGAAATAAATTAGCCGCTATGCCAAAACTGTTTTCTCAGATTCTATTTTCAGCGTGGTTCCCTAGGAATCTGGGCAACTTATTAAGATGATATAATGCTAGGATATTTGAAGGTGGGAATGGTGTTTCTGGATGTTATTCCAGAAAGAGCAACTTGTTAATTTTTGCATCATATGTGAAGCACAGTCTAAAATGATTTAACCTTTAAGGACCTTCAGACCTCTATATAAAGCCCAGTCCTGTATTACCCTCCCTATTCTGCGGTCGAAGGTTCCGTCACTCCAGATTTTGATGTTCACTACAAGACATGATTGAACCCCTTTTAAGTTGGACATATTTTTGTTGAATAGCAGAACAATTATGAATATGTGATCAAATTTAGCGCTAAATCTCTCCAGAGATAACTTACATATGACCTTGACCTCGACCACTCCTTTTGATGCTTTCTTCTGTCCAGTGATGGGATTGATGGCGATACATCTGTACTTGCCCTGGTCTGACTGCCGGATGTCTAATACTTGGAGGTTTCCTGAGGGGAGCAGCTGGTAGCGTGCTGAAACAATAGCACAATACAATTTAGACATCGTGTGAGATCACAGGTTTTTATCATATCAAGAATGGCATTTTGTAAATCTTCAATAATGTTATTCACCTGTCTTCTCTTTCTAGGCTATTGACTTATATATGTATTGAAAATACTCATCCAATGTTCATTGCCAAATCAGTAAACAATATGCAAGTAAAAATTTGCAATAAAAACTGAAAAAGAAACATAAATTATTATATTTTCGCAATTTTATACCATTTAGTCTAATTACTAACATGACCAGAAGAAATAGTGTGGTATGAGAATTGATATTACAGCATTCAAACATCTGATGTGGACAACACTCTCGGGTAGCACAGCTCTAATGTGAATGTATTCCGCATGTATGAACACCATTGTATTAAACACAATGTACAAATGATTCAGATATGAAATATACTGTACAATCTAAATGATTGTTTTATTCATAGCTTCAACATTTCTTGCCTTACATTTTGGTGTATATTATAATTGAAAACCAACTTGGCCTCTTCAACATAAAAAATCTATCTAGGCCCTATATTTCAATGTTTGTTTCACAGTGTTTACTTCATAGTAAGTTTGCAAAAACCTCTTTGGCCAAAGCTTTCTTTTTGCTACTTTAGAACTATAAGATTTCCCTCACCTAGATATGTATTTTTGTTATATTTTTGAGAAAAATAAATAATAAAATAAATAATAATAAAATAAAAAGCCTGGGGCTTGGTCATTTTCCCCCAAATCTTGCGTAACTAACAATTAACCAATAGAGGCCTTAGCAACATAATGGAGAAAGTAATTGTTGGATACAGTTACTATGAGGGCTGACACATACTGTTTGTTTTTGTTACCAAGTAACTGACTTGAAATATGCCTCTATGGTAAACTTCCTGACTTTTTGGCAGGTTTTGCAAGTCAGAGTGAAGTACATACAACTTTATAATCATGATTAGAGGCATAATTGATAACAGAAACTAGCATAATAGTTTGTTTCGTCTGGTACACTGCCCCTTCTGAAATTCTTAGAAAATAACCCTTTAGATGAAATGAGCATAAATAGTATAGTTGAACACCCCTATTACTTAACAACTTATGATGTTAAGGTAGGCACAGTCCTATGGATTTCTAACTTATTTTTGTCTTAACAAATTACAAATTTCGTGTACATACTGCATTTGAAAAACTTACTGTGTCAACGTTGAGCATAGCTAAAGCTCAAATCCTTTTTGCCAACTCTTCAAAAGTTCAACATTGAAAGTTTAAATGCAAAAAATGGTTTAGATGTATCAATCCTAACTTGCATCAATGACATTTTATTAATAATTTTTGGTTCATAAGTTTAGCATAAAAAATGGGGAAAGTGCTTCATGATAAACCTTGGCATCTTATTTCTCGACAACCATAGGATTATGTATGCAGGAAAGATGAGGATCACAATGGAGAGAGAGAGAGTAGAATACCTAAAGCAGAATCTGGCAGCCAATTCTGACAATGTTGATTCTCCAGCATGAATTGCAACAGAGTATGGTTTAAACAACAGAGCTTGGCAAGATCATGTTATATTTTGACTCACTACATTAAACTGACTGTAACAAACAAAAACCTAGTCTACTCCCCAGGATAAATCTCTGCGATTCTCCCCAACACCCCAAACAGAGAGCACTGATGGGGACTACGTCATATGTTTTTTTCCTGTGTGGCAGCTGTCCAATTGAATAAAGGCTGGCACAGTTAGTTAAATGGTGCTAATGTTCTACACTGTTGATGACTACAGGCCAGTAGAGAGAAAGGAAACAGACAGCTTGGGGAGGAACATCAGAACACATTGATGTCGATTGCCATCAAGTGCAAGTATAAGTTAACCAGAACTCAAGATGACTTCTTTTTATATCAATTGATTTGTTTTTTCTCAACTGTTAAGTGGTAATATTGCCCTTTTGAAGAGTTTAATTTTGCATCTTGAATCCACACTCTTTTAAGAAACCAAATCGCTTTGATAAAGTCTTATCCAATCAGATTATGTTAATCAAAATATAGCTACCCTATCAGATTGCAGAACTATAGTCACTGCATTTTCTGCCTTCATAGGAAGTTGGAATTTATTTCATACTCAAAGTCCAATGAAAGATAATGATGGCTTCTCTTGGGGTTATCAAGATTTTAACAGCAACAAAACTGTAAAATGTTTATTCTAGTATAGTAAGTATTACTTAAGCCAATGGGCCTCAGGGTATTTAAGTATCTGTTCCAAGAGTCATATCAAGACAACCATTTACAGAATAGCAAAAGTATTTCTTCATATAAAGAAAACTAAAACATTTCTTATTAACTGGCATGGGCCTAAATGCTTACATAACTGAAGAAGAATTATTGCAACAATCAAATAAACAAACAAATAAACAAACAAACTCGACATTCTTAGGATTCCAATCATTTGTTCCACTATCCAATATCTAGCTAAGATGGTGTAATGGGTTATAATAGTTATAGTTTGTATATTGTAACAAAAAAATCACCACTTAAGAGTTTATAACATATGGAACATTCTCAGAACATACCTAGACATGCAAAATTTGCACTCAGAAGACAGTGAACCATGTGCATGGTGAACGTATTCACATTTGGTCCTAATGAAATGTGTTTACCTTGTTCAATATGGGACTCAAACATAGGCATTGGGTGAATATGACACTGTTCGCCAAATAAGAAAAAGAATTAACTTACATAATTATGATAGATGGTTGTAATCATTTCAAAGCATACTCTAGGAGGAGTAAGTAACATGAGAATTGCTTCCTAGTATAAATAGGGTTATTGTCACTCATGATTCTAAAGAATGTTCATGTCTTCATAATCGGTTCAAAATATAAATAAAAATAAAAAGAGAAAAAAGGGGAAAAGGTTACATATTAAGTGTGCACACAAATTTCAAAGAAACATTATAAAAATAAATCTACCCAATCCTAACTCAATGACTTCAACACTACATCAATCTCACAATCCACTCCAGTCTTCACATAAATCCAAGAAGATGATTGGCTGGTTTTGTCTTTGAGGATCATGGGAGTGTTCCTCCACTGCATTCTGACCTTCTGGTTTCAACATGGAGACTGGCAACACACTGATAATTTCTATCATACTTCTGTTGCTCTAGTAACTATTCCCATATGTGTAAAATATGATTTTTCAAGGAATATTACCCTGGGAAAAACAAGTTAGGAATTTAGATGATATTTTGGTGTATCACAAATGACAATTTAAGAAGTTACCCTGGTTCACCTTGTCTGACATGTGGATACCTTATTCTCTATGTTCCCAGTGTTCAAACAATGATCTATGACAGATGAGAAAACTGTTTTTTGGCATCCTTTACTCAGATCCTTAATCCATGGATGTCTCTAGATTCCAATTCTCCCTTTCGCGGTTCGCTCTTTGGATCAGAACGTTCGCAAATATGTACTGAAAAAGCACTCAAAAAGGACAACATTTGATTGGTCAATATTTTCCCACTATGCATTTCGCGTAGCTATTTGCGTGACCCGAAAGTTCTAAATCAAACTAATTACGCAATTTTGTTTTTACACCTGCACGCTAAATAAAACAATGACACCATCGGAAGTATTCTTCGTTGTCATTGCTTTAATAGTCAGTATAACGAGTTTAATCAATAAAAGATTGTACAATGACCAACAAAATTCGGAAACGAGTATTATAGATTTGCTTTCGGACCACTGAACAGATTGACCTAGATAATAGCGACGCGTCTTCTTTGGTCTACTGCTCAGTTGTTTGTGGGTTTTCAACGTAACTCTATAATGTAATTTGAAGATGAATACTTTCATTCAGTTGTTGCACCGATGTTGCAGTTTGTTATGCGGTAAGATTGTCAGGAAAGTATTGAAAGTCGAATGGAATTGTTTTTTCCAAAATGGCGACTAGTCAACTGATCACGTGACCTTCTCTTCCGGAATATTTTCTCACTTTTCAATCATCGTTTTCACCACGCTATGAATCAATACAATGAAAAAAATAGCTGTTATATTAAGACTAATAAGAGACCAATCGTTTCTAATAATTTTTTCTGTACTCTCGTACAGGAATATGAACGAATATATCGTTTGAAAAATAGGTGTGAAAATCCCCATGTTAAACCTATGAGGGAAAACAAGGAAGTATGAATTTGTTCCTCTGCGAACTGCATCATGGGAAATATTTTGACCTTATAAGGAAAGATTTTCGCGTCTCCTCTTTTGAAGAGGGAACAACGATTTCGAGAATTGGATCATAACACAGCAGTTATGACACTATGATGTGTAGAGACAGGACGCTCCTCAATCAATCTCCCCACATGCTCCTAATGTGTCTATATCTCCCTCTCTGCTCTCTCCATGCAGCAATCAGATAGCTGATAACATGGCACCAAAACACCAGAGACACTGACAACTTTTTATGGCCTTTATTCCACAGAAAAAACGACACATGTATAGCAGTTTAAAAACAAGGAGTATTATTTGATTTTTAAGATTTGGAGACTCTGTGAACTCAAAAATAGATACTCTATCATGTTTTTTAACTGACTGAAGTGAAGTATTTACATGTGAGACTGTCCCTCCTTCCATTACTAAGTAATAATAAAAATCTATTCAGCATAGATGTAGCATTGAAGGGACATCTAATTACAGTACAGACAAGTTAGATGTCACCTTAGATGAGAGAAAATTGTTGACTACAATGAGTCCACAATTTGCAAAAACTGCAGATACTTTGAAAGAAGCATTTCAATAAAAGAATATGGCACAGGGGATAAGATCAGTTTTCAAACAGAACTGAAATAACCTGTGGTAAAAATAAAGATAAGATAAATTATAAAAATAAATAGAACATCCCAGATGACTCACTCACTGACCATGGTTGTACAGATGGTGATTGCAACTTAATTATATCAAATGATTCCTGTGTATTATCTTATGATAGTTTCACATTGGGTGAACACAGGATAAAAATACAACCAGGTGCAAACTTCCTTCTTTCTAAATAGACCATTCCACAGTACAGTAGCTAAATAACACCATAGCAAACCAGTCATATGGTCAGTTAAGGAGACTGATACTAACTGGTCATTTTTCTTCATCTAACAGATTTGATCCTGCTAAGATAGGGTATGACATTGGCATTTATTGAAAACACATTTCAACCACATCAAAATCAATTTCTCCAAATTGAGGGAGCTCTGATTTGAGTACTTAACATAAATAGAGCAGAAACTACTGAGAGAACTGATTGACACTCACACCAAAGAGCTTATTATAAAGCCACATTTTTCATCATGTATCTAGGACTCTAATTCCTGCTAGTCATAAAAGTCTATTACCCAGATTGATCAAACCACTGGCTTACACCTAGAAAATTATCATATCCCGTGGTTATTTTTTTCAAGATGTCAAAAACTTTGATTCATTGGTTGGCAAAGATATTGAGACTTATACTTTGAATACTTGGGATATTAAGAAAGGTTACGATACTTCGTATAATGAAAGAAAAGTTAATTGAACTGGCGTCATCCATCACTTCATGGCGCTATGCAATATTGAACACAAAGGGGACAAAAGGGTATTTCTGGAGGGACAACTAAATGAAATCATGAACAAATATAATTTAGGGTTATGGGATGAAATTATGGGACTTTGTCATTTTGATTGACCAAATATGGAGATGAGCTCCATATTTGGTCAATATGTTTTATAGCACTGGACATACCTGTGTTTTTGTCTATAGTTGTACTGTTTACTTCAAATACTGTTTGTGTATAAGGCTTTCCTTTAGGAGCATTGCAGGGGATCAGACCAACATTGCCCACTGTGATGTTAATTAAACGATTCTCTTCATATTTAAAGTTCCCCAAAACTAAAATACAGAAATGTGGGTTTATAGTATGCATACAGTACAATATATATTTATGATAATGTAGGTCATTATTATGGGACAAATGTTACATAAAATTGGCTTGAGAGTTTAAGAAAAAATTATTTAATTCGAGCTGAGTCTAAGGTTGCTACGGATACAAAGAAAAATTGATTTTTTATGATGAAATACCTCAGAACGCTTACTCATACATATAAAAGGCCATAGAAAAAATAAAATCTAGAAAAATCATGTGTTCTTACTGGCTTTGGAAAGTGTTGCTGGCTGACTGACTATTGAACCAACAGAATTATTCGCCACACAATTATAGACCCCAGCGTGATTGGTGTAGTTTTTTGTGTGCTTAAAGGATAAAATGTGTAATCTTCCTCCATCGATCTCCAGCCCATGTTCAACATCACTAGTGATGAAATCCCCATTATACAACCAGGAGACATCGGCAGAGGGAGGATGCACTTTACAATGGAGGACAACCTTCCCATGTGGCTTTGCTACAGTGTCTTCTGGCTCCTGGAGGAATCTGGGAGGATCTTCTGCAAATAGATAAAAATAAGCATCAGTTATCTCATGGTGGTTTACAAATGAGCAACAGTTTTTTCATGATGATTTGCAAAATGAAGACTGTGTACATCTTGACTTGTTAAAGTATTTTCAAAGAATGGCAATGAATGAGACACTTTTCAACACTCAATGAAAGCGAATTAAAGGAGCATTGTGAAGATGGTCTTGTTTACTAAATTCCCCAAGTTCTTCAAGGCCTATTCATTTACTAAGAACAAGAGAACCCATGCTGGTTTACTATGTTTAATGAATCAGCAACATGTATAAAAAATATATCCGTTTTTTCAGTTTCAATTATGATAAACACTTTGAGGTATTTTGATTCCATTTGTAGCTTATTTCACGCTGTATGTCACATGGAGAATTGCACTCTATTTACATTATTTTCCCTTTCTATCTGAATGAGTTCAGTTGATTCAAAAACAGACAAAAAATAGTTCAGATTTCAACTCATAAATTCATAAAATGTAATATTTTCATTAGCAAAGCAGATTTGAGTTCAAGTAACGCTTTATTATTATCTTAAGCGAAATGGATTTCTTAATTTCATTATCCAAAACAAACTTTTTAATAACATTAAAATCAATAAATTGGTCTCTAAAATAAACACTCATAAAGAATTGGGTGAAAAAACTTGAGAATGGTGTAAAAAACTAGTAAGAATGAATGAGCTATATAATGAGTCGCAAAATATGTTAATGTTCGTTATAAAAACATTATGAATGGTAATTGAAAACAGAGAATTTATTAATTTGCTTCTAATATGAGCATAGACTCTTCTTTTAGCCTTTATATTATTATAATTATCAGATACCAAATATTTCATGCTGAGCTCATATTTTCTTTAAGATAAATCATTTTAATATTCATTAACTCTCGCTTATATTCGCTTATGAATCATACCCCTCTTTCGATATACTCTGGAAGGTTTTCAACAGTTTCGTCCATAAAGTCGGAATATTTGTTATTTTATCATTCTAGCTCCTGATATTTCATAGATGACAGTATCCCTTACTGACATATCCTAACATCTTGTGAGGTCTGTATCATCTCTTAATGCAAATACCTACATGTTTTTTATGTTCTAAACATAATGAACATTTGGAAATGTATTCTTGGGCACTAAACAGTAAAAACATGTGATGACCAACTATAAAGGTTTAAAACATTAAAGACGATTCGGGGGTTTCTTTAAAGAAGGTTCTTTATTTCTGCAGCATAAAGAGATGTAAAATTAACCAAACTTGAAATTACTACACTCTGACAAAATGGTCGTTAAATTTTATGACACAGAGGAAAAACATTTACCTTATACTTCTTTTGAATAAATTCAGAAAGAAAACTATATTCAAGGACTACAGTCACTGGTTTTAACATCAATCTTTCAAAATAACACCCCTCAAATGTTAAGATATCAGAAATCCCTACATACCCCCTAATTTTGTCATATATTTGACCAAATTGTTTTCGCATGTACACAGTGTATTTATAGGCCATAAAATTTCTAGAACTAGCACTTTACCTTGCTTCTGCACATTAATTTGACAAATCTTGGGGAGCAAATCAGTATCAAAATTCACCAATTTAAACTGGTAATTACAGTGAGAGTTTTGACTCTACATTAATCACGAAAATTCTGACATTTTCACCAGAGGCATATTTCAAAGTTCATCCTTGAGAAAGTCAAATTGTTGGCTCCATTCCCCATAAAAGCAACATAAAAGAGTTTTAATAACAAAAATGAATTGCCTGTTTCTTCTACAACTATTATTTGGCGTATACAAACATGATATTAAAATGTTAAAATCAACAGTAGGCTGATTTCAAGTTTGAAACTAGCACTAGTACAGCTAAAGTGTTTGAATATGATTGAGCTCATAGATGTCAAAAGTCTACTGAATTATGAGGAGCATTTGGGTAATTAAAGATCAGTTTTGAAATGTCATCAGTATAATTCATACATCCTGTTGTCATAATTGCCAATTATTGAAACATCAAAATCATACTACCATAGCAGGGGTATACCTTATCCTCCAAATGCAGAGGTCAAGACAGCATCCACTCTGTTCTTACCAGAGGAGATGTTGAACCCCTGCATTTGGAGAATGGGGCATAGCTAGGACATGAGGCAGATCAGGCAACTGCCTCCCTAGCATTTTACAGAAAACATTTATTCAGACATTATTTCAAAAGAAACTCTCCAATCAAAATATAATGATAGTATTATATCTCTTAAACCAAACTTTTGCCTCTTCTATCTTTTCCCTTAACATTTTCCTCTTCTATTTTTAAATTTGCCCCTTCTATTTTTAAATTTACCTCTTCTATTTTTAAATTTTCCCCTTCTATTCAAATTTGCCTCTTCTATTTCTAAATTTGCCTCTTCCATTCTTAAATTTTCCTCTTCTATTCAAATTTGCCTCATCTAATATTAGATTCTGGCTATTCTCCAGCTAAGTGCAAAGCTTCTGATAATTTCATTTTACCTGATACAATTCCATAACCTGGTTAACCAGCTGCAAGACCAAGCCAGAGGAAACAAGGTAAACCCAGTTCAACATTCCTATTTCAGATTCGATTAGAGCAGAAAAGTGAACAACTACCTGATTTTTCTATATTCAGAGGTGAATTATCTGCCCTAAATATGTTATAGAAAGAGATAACCCCCTCCCTCCCACACGCTCCTACTACTACACCTGTCAGGATCATAGGGTACATATCCCTTACCAAGAGTTCAGCAAGCCAAACTTTTCTTCAAGAAATATCATGAAAAATAAAAGAACCACAAAGGAATGGGGGGAAAGGGCGTGAAGTTCATACCCTAAATTATACAGAAACAAACAAATTTGAAATACTTCTTCCAATTTTTATTGAGATAATCACAGAATTCTCAGAGGAATCAGAAACCATTTGGAAAAGCAGACGGATGGTGATGTTGTCATAGAGGGGAATATATCAACACTTGACAGTCATTCATCATCTACTCTGTTAGGACTCATACACATCCTGCTGAGCAACAGATTCTTTTACTTCAGCTTCCCAAAATATTATGTCTTCCCTGTACTGTAAATGCCCTATGTCTCCTATGTTTGAAATAGTGTCTCAGACAATTTTAACAATCTAAAAATTCCAATGTACCGGTCATAATGATAAACTATGACATCACATTTTTCTCAGCTATGAGATTTGGCATGATACAGAAAGATGCAATGAGTATCAGGATATGTTCTCTGGAATTAGAATTTCCTTCTTACTACTGTACAGGGGAAGGAGGCATAATAGGGTATCATTTCTAACAACTTGATCTTCACTATTAAAGTTTTGTGACTCATGATAAAAATGGGGAGGAAGCGGGGGGGGGGGGGGTGATTTTCCCCTGAAGGATGGTTGGAGCAATGCAGCCTCTACAGTTGGATATATAATGCATATAAAAAGATACCTCCATAGAAACATTCCAAATGAAATATCAAGCAACATGTTGCAAATAATGAATATTGGCGCGGATATATACAGGGCACAATGTCCCAGATTGATAATAAAACATCCCTGCTAAACTTGTCATAATCTGGTTGTTTTAATGAATATGATTGAACCAAGGATTATTCCTGTCAAGTGCCCCATCATTTAGCTACAATTTATTGAATTCTTGGGTCCCATTTAATCTCATATCTTGCAGAATTCTCCCATAACTGATTCTATGTTTATACTTATCCATAATGACTCAGGAATATCATATTTTGCAGAATAAACAACTATGTTAGTAAACATTTAATAAGTAAACATTTAATTAATTTCAGATCTATATTTAAGTTTACTGAATTGGCTGATCTAGAACTGTTTAATCTATTTGCAACTTTTAAGGAAAGAACTATTGTTCTTCTTAAAGTATCTCATCATTCAAGGTTTGTTTTCTGAATGAGAAAGAATGATACAATGTATCCTGCAAGATAATGATCAATAACAAATGTAGGAAATCTACTCAGTAATCCATGAGTGGCACCAGAATTACTAGCTATTGAAGCAATAAATGTATATTAGATGTTGCAGAATAGAGATACAAATCCTTGTCATGATTTTGTGAGTTTGGTTAAGGCATATAAAATATGTCTCTTGCTTATGATACCCCAAATCAAGGGAAAAGCATGTCCACTCTCTCCCAGACAAAAGTGTATTAGAAAGAATGGTGGGAGTTAAGGGGGTTTTGATGCAAGAATACTATTTCAGCCATAGATCCTGGAGATCTCAGTTAACTTGTTAGTCTTGTAGCAATGGGACGCTCAATGTTACATCACATCTAATTGTATATAAGTAGACCTTACAATCGAAATATACAGACCTTTCATGATTAAATCAGAGAAAAAACTACCTTTAGTTATTCATATTAATTATTATTTCAAGAATGAATATTTCAAACAACTACATGTACAATGTGATTTCCTTTACTTTGGTATGTTTTGTTTTGATCCTGTTAAAATTGATAATATATAGCATATAACAGTAAGGATGGGATGGTATGAAAGTAGATCTCAGGGAGCTGGTTTATATTGCCTCATCTTAGCCAATCTAAAACAACTGTCTAATACTACTTGATAGGAGGCATTTATTATTGCAATAGTGGACTTGCTATTCTAAACAAGAAAACTGTTAGAGATGATACAAAGAAAACCCATGAACCTGTATATTATATGTAGAGATATTGTGAGCTTCTCCACTAAAAGACTAATCAGATATCCCCTGGGGGAGAAATGGAGATCTCCTTAAGGAGAATTTAAGTAAGTATGCTAAGATTGTAAAAATATTCTTACATAACAGTCCTTCGAAAATTCCTATTTCGTTTCTGTTCTATAATATTTTAAATGGAAAGAGCAACACTTGCTTTAGCTTCCTGTTTTCCTTGATCTAATAACTAGATGTTTACCCCATAACAAAGATTTATGAAAATCGTCAGGCAAAGCCATAAAGCCTTACTTAC